CTTAGGGCTTAAATCTCTATTGTAGACTGGGACTAACTCGCATAACTCTACTTACAGGAACTCTACTAAAGATGATCTTAAATATAAGAACTGACTATGAATACCGGCCATAGTGAAAATGCTAAAAATAAGCGGCTTCATCTCTTTCTAAGGAGACAGAAAGAGACAAAGCTACTCACTTTTGCCGTTTTTACTACAGAGCAAGATACATAATTGACCCCCAGAACATTCCTCATTTATGCTTTATCTAGTCGGAAATCTTTCAGATTAACTGAAAAAAGTTTTAAAAAGACAAGAGATGAAAATTCTATGGAGGAGCGACGTAATGAGCGCAACAATAAGAAACGGTAAAAAAACAATTTTAAAGGCATTAAATTTTAAAAATAGTACACAACATATTAATAATAGTATAGGGATTCAATTGATCTAGAGCTATAAATTATTTATTATACTTATAAGCTTTTGTTTATATTTCTTAGACCTAGTTAGAACAATAATTATGAAACCCTTGCCGCGCGTATCGATATAAAAGCTGAACGTGTTTAGTCCATTCGCGTTTTGACAGTCCTTCTTGTGACCTTGTCCTTTTCTCTGAAACCAAAAGTACACGCATTTAATTGGCGCGACCATGATAATAATAATATCTATGTGCGGTAAGCGCGGCGCAGAGAGATGTGCCCTGTTGAACAAATGATCAGAAAGATCCAAGTTCAAGTTCAACACCGCTAGTCTTTATTTGAACCCTACTTCTCGGAAGCAACCACCGAGAGTGTCTTGTCATAGAGGAAAGTCCCCTATTATGAGATGGACTTCTTATATGAAATAGCAGGCTTTCAACATCCAAATCCAATCACAAATCTTGCTTCGCAACGCTTACACGATCCGACAATAAATTTTCCATTAAACACGTTTCACTCCAAGGGCAATAAATTCACGATAGAACCAACAGATGATGCCTATTAATTTAGTAGAAACATATTAGAAGCTTGTCTCACAATGGCGGTCTTTCCTCTATCGGTTAATGATGAATAATTAACTGTCACTAATTTGATTGCGATACTTACATGATATACACTTCGGCACCCCAGCCAGATATCGCGTCCCGATCGAACGCATTGACCAGAGCCTGACTGACGGTCTCGAACAGCTCTTCAGGTCCCAGATTCGGCTCGTAAAGGGACTCGCACATGCCGTAAAGCTGCTCGGTACACGTCCCACCTACCACAAAGTCCTCGGCCAAGTTCCTGGAGCCTATCAGGTCCATGTTGCAGATGAACGGCTCGAACGTTACCGGATCCAGTCCGGCGACTATCGGCTCGACGAAGTACGGGCCGAATCTCCTCTCGTACAGAAGATTCGAGATCATGGCAGTGAAGGTCTTGGGGTGAATCTTCCGGTTCTCCTTGAGCTCGTACAGGTTCAGGCGGAAGCGCAGTCTCTCCGTGACGGTCTGGGTGTCGGTGGCGAGGCCGGGTAGGCTGAGGTACAGGTGCGGCCCCATCTCGTAGATCTTCTGGCAGTTGCTCGTTATCGTCTGCGCCTGTATGCCGAATCTGCGATCGGCCGCTATCGCCACGCAGTTCTTCCCCTTCATGGCTATCACGGCGCCGCCGTTGTACGCGAGGATGCTCTACGTAGGAAAGGGAAAAACCGATGAGACGATAGTCGAGGCTGCGCTCCGCTTGATACAAATGTTTCAAGGCGTCTGCTCCTCCTCCGTTTTCTTTTATCAAAGAAGGAAGAATACTTGGAAGTATCAAGCGGACCGCAGCTCGGGATCATCGCGCGACAATTTGGGTGCTGTGCTGTGTCATCGGTACGACTGACACACGGCGACGTAACCTCCTCGGTCGCGGATCGTGCTCCGTTGGGATGACGTGTAGCTCTCCGCTAACGCGAGTGATTAGCAATGGTATAGGGTCCTCAGTCCGATCCCGGCCCTCGTCCCGTGTATCTTACCGTGAGGGGGACATTTCAAAAATTCAGCGCTTGAAGAAGTTCAAGCGCCTAGTGTTCAATCAGGATTGAGCATGAATTTCACAGAATTTTTGGAAATATCACGCTGATATAACCTGACGGTTGAAAGGCATTTCCGCAAGTGTGAACTTTAAAAAAAAGGGGGGATCAAGCGAGATCTCGTCGCGGGATACGATACGGGTACGCGCGGAATACCTTTTAACAGATAAACATTTACCATGTTCTCGTGCGAATATATCCAACACCTTACAATGCAAAACGTCAACCGCGGTCGTCGGGACGCTCGAAATCCCGAAGTGCGAGTCACGGCCACGGGTCGTGGAATCAACGTAGAAACGTGACTCGCGAGTCGAGATAAACTTCGTCGATAAAATCGAACATACTTAGTCC